GGTCTGTGTATGGTAGGAGGAGGAGAAGGAGAGATCAATCCCCAATTGTTTACTGAACGCCCTCCAGAACCTGGACACAAACTGAGAGCCCCTATCAGACACAATATTGTGGGGATGCCATGCAAACGGACAATTTCACGTATGAAAATTAGGACCAAATCTTGCGAAGATGGCAACTTCTTGAGAGGAATGAAGTGAGCCATCTTAGAAAATCGGTCTACAACCATGAGAATAGTAGTGAACCCAGCAGAGCTAGGAAGCTCTACAATAAAGTCCATGGATAAATGGGACCATGGAATCTCAGGAACAGGAAGAGGCTGCAACAGGCCACAAGGAAGTGCATGAGTCACCTTAGAAACTGCACACACAGAACATGCCTGCACATACTCCTTTACATCTTTCCTGAGTGAATCCCACCAAAATGATCTAGTGATCGCGGCAGTGGACTTATTGATGCCCGGGTGTCCAGCAGTTATATTGTCATGGAACACTTTCATGATATTAACCCTTTCACATAGGGGAACGAACAGTTTATCACACGGTTTACCACTGGGCGCTTGAGGCTGGGCCTCCAGTATGGTGCCAAGCAGTGGAGAAGACAGTGAGAGGACAGTAGTGGCAATAATACACTCTGGTGGAATAATAGGAGATGTCACCTGTTCCGGAGCTGACTCATTATCAAATTGCCTGGACAAGGCATCAGCCTTGGTATTTTTAGAACCAGGTCTATAAGTAATGAGAAAGTTAAAACGTGAAAGGAATAGTGACCATCTAGCCTGTCTGGAAGACAAACGTTTGGCATCCCCTATATATGCCAGATTTTTGTGGTCGGTTATGATCAACAGGGAGTCCTTGGAACCCTCCAAAAGATGTCGCCACTCCTTGAGGGCAAGAATAATGGCCAACAGTTCTCTATTGCCAATAGTTGCGCTCAGCAGGAGACATCTTTCTGGAGAAGTAGCCACAAGGATGCAATGGTGTTCCCTGGCTTTCTCTCTGAGAGAGAACAGCCCCTACCCCTGTCTCGGATGCATCAACCTCCAATATAAAAGGTTTACTAGTGTCGGGATGTTTTAGTATGTCCGCAGAGGCAAATCTTTGTTTAAGAGTCTCAAAAGCATTCACAGCCTCTTTGGACCATACCGTGCTACTAACCCCTTTGCGAGTCATATTTGTGATTGGGGCTATTACAGAAGAAAATCCCTTGATGAATCTTCTGTAATAGTTGGCAAAACCAATAAACCTTTGAATGGCTTTTAAACCAGAGGGTAATGGCCAGTGTAGTACAGCCTCTAGTTTTTTAGGATCCATTTGAAATCCCGATGCAGAGATGTTGTAACCCAAAAAGTGGACTTCAGGCTGGTCAAATATGCACTTTTCTAATTTGCAATAAAGTTTATTTTTCAACAACGTCTGCAGAACCTGTTTCACATGGGAGTGGTGAGTCTGAAGATCAGGGGAATACACCAAAATATCGTCCAAATAAACCAAGACAAATGAGTAAATGAATTCCCTGAGTACATCATTTATAAAGTCTTGGAATACGGCCGGGGCGTTGCATAACCCAAATGGCATTACCAGATATTCATAGTGTCCACTACGGGTATTAAATGCCGTCTTCCACTCATGATTCTCTTTAATTCTAACCAAATTGTAAGCGCTCCTAAGGTCAAGCTTAGTAAATACTTTAGCTCCCTGAAGTCTATCGAACAATTCGGAAATGAGTGGGATAGGGTATGCATTTTTTACAGTGATTTTATTAAGTGCCCTGTAGTCTATGCAAGGGCGTAACTCACCACCCTTTTTCTCAACAAAAAAGAATCCTGCACCAGCTGGTGAGGATGACTTTCTTATGTGCCCTTTGCTCAAGGATTCTTTGATGTATTCCTCCATTATTTTACTCTCCTGGGGAGATAAGGCATAAACTGCCCCCTTAGGTGGCATAGCGCCTGGAAACAGGTTAATGGCACAGTCATATGCTCTGTGGGGAGGCAATACATCAGATTGAGCCTTGTTAAAAACCTCCTGAAGTTCTCGGTATTGTATGGGAACTCCAGGAGTTTGGGGAGTGGTAGTGGGAAGGTCAATAGTATCCAATCTCTTTAGTACTGGTTTTATACATCTCCCCATACACTCTTTACCCCATTCTAATATCTCCCCATTAGTCCAGTCAATATAGGGATTGTGCTTACTCAGCCACGGAAACCCTAATATGATAGGACATGATGGAGAAGTAATAACCTGAAACGTCATCTCCTCCCTATGGGAGGCCCCAATGGAGATCGTAATAGGGACAGTTTCGTGGGTTATAAGCGGTTGTGTGAGTGGTCTACCATCAATAGCCTCTACAGCTAGCGGCGTAGGTCTCTCCCTGACCGGTATCTCATTACCCCTAATAAACTGGACATCAATAAAATTTCCAGCAGCACCTGAGTCCATTAGGGCACTGCAAGAAAACTTCTTGTTATCAAGGGAAATAGATACCTCAAGGAGGAATCTACTTTTGTTTTTGTTAGAGGACAACTCCATCACACCTAAGATCTGTCCCCTTAAGGTTCTTAGGTGCGGAAGTTTTCCGGACGCACTGGACAATTAGTTATCATATGTCCCTTTCTACCGCAATATAGGCATAACCCCTCCCTTCTCCTATACTGTTTTTCGGCCTCTGACAGTCTAGTGACCCCCAACTGCATAGGTTCGGGTTCGGACTGTACAGGGAGGTTTGACAAAACAGGTTTAGACAATTGAGGTGCTAGGGACATAGCCGTACGTCTGGTCTTGCTTCTGGTGACTTCTCTGAGTCTTAACCTATTATCAATATGCATGACAAACGTAATAAATTCGTTAAGACTCTTAGGTAATTCTTTAGCGGCTATCTCATCTAGTATAGTCTCTGAGAGACCCTTTTTGAATGCTGAGATTAACCCATTGTTAGTCCAGTCTACCTCGGAAGCTAAGGTACGGAATTCAATAGCATAATCCGAGATAGACCGGTTACCTTGTCTGATGTGCATTAGGGCAGTGGAGGCGTCATCCTCTCTACCCAATGGCTCAAACGTGAGCTTGAATTCGGCAAGGAATTCCTGGTAATTATGAGCTATGCTCCGATTACTCTCCCACAACGGATTAGCCCAGGCAAGGGCCTTGCCCTTTAATTGATTCATTAGATAACCAATTCTTGCTCTGTCCGTGGGGAATGACCCTGGTGAGGCCTCAAAATGGTACTCCACCTGATTAAGAAAACCCCTGCATTCCTGGATATTGCCATCAAACTGTAGGGATGGTGATAAGGAGATGCTAGGAGTCATATTAACAGTGGGTGGAGGTACACAGGGTAGAGGTGCTATAGGAGGAGACGCTGCAAGCTGCAGATGCTCCGTTCTAGCGAGAAGCGTACTTAAAGCCTGAGTGAATTGATCCATGCGGTGATCATTCTCCTCTAATTTCCTCTCGCAAGCAGCTATGTGCTGACACAGTTCTACAGGATCTATGGCCATGTCGTAATGTCAGGATTACTGTTTGATCCAGCACGTAGAACTGTACAGCACGGATGACAAATAAGTAACGTATTACCGGTCCTTAGAATGGCCGGATTTAACGTACAAAGAATAGTCAAAAATACTAGCCGAGGTCAGGGAACACAGAAAGGGACACAGCGATGAGGAAAGCCAGGAGTCAGGATACCAGAATATAGAGAAGTCAATAAACAAAGCCAAAGTCAAAAACCAGGTAGAAAACTATAAACAGGAACGCGCTCTCGGACAACCACAAGGGAAACCACGACAGGGCACTGAGCAGGCTGAGAACTGGGCCTAAATACCCCTCCTTTCTTTCTGATAGGCTGTAACCGGCCTTTGACCCCAAAGTCAGTTACCAGGTTTCATTTGCATAATTGCTGCTCAGCATTAACCCTTCTGTGGATTAGGTTGCTGCTCGGCACAACTTTTCCTGTGTGGACAGTAAATGTCATTAACCACTTTTCTATAAGCGGATGAATACATGAGACCAGGTTTCATTTGCACAATTACTGCTCAGCATTAAACCTTCTGTGGATTAGGTTGCTGCTCGGCACAACTTTTCCTGTGTGGACAGTAAATGTCATTGACCACATTTCTATAAGCGGATGAATACGTGACAGTAGGCTAGAGAGTGGGGAAGAGAAGGGAGCGGCACAGGGCCCCCCTCCATCCCCTACCTATTAGTGAAGATCCGTTCGGCAGAGAAGCAGTCGACATTATAGGTCCCCTAGCCAAGCCTAGTTCCTCTGGGAAGAAGTACATTCTGACCATCGTGGACTCTGCGACTCAGTACCCTGAGCAGTATTCGGGTAGAAACTGTGGCTGAAGCCTTGATGCGAGTGTTCTCCTGGATGGGTTTTCCCCGGGAGATTCTCTCAGACCAGGGCACCCAGTTTACTGCCAAAATGACCCACCAACTGTGGAGATTGTGCACATTAAACCAATCCTGAGCTCCACTTACCACCCCCAGACCAATGGCCTGTGTGAGCGCTTCAACGGTACGTTGAAGCAAATGCTCCGTACCTTTGCGGCGACTCACAAGGATTGAGAGAGATTTCTGCCCCATCTCTTGTTTGCCTATTGGGAGGTGCCACAGGAATCGACTGGGTTCTCCTCGTTCGAACAGCCACGCCAGGGAACTCCTTGGAGCTGGCTTTGGTGTGCTCAGTCCCTGAGTGCAGTGGGCTGTAGCAGCCGTACTGTCTAGGGGACGGCTGCTCCGCTTTTGCACCCTGCTCTAGGAGGAGGAGGTGGATGTGGAGTAGGAGGTTGAGGAGGCGGTGACCGCGGCGGCGACGACGCATTCGGATGTCTGTCCTATCAACTTTCGATGTTACTTTCTGCGCCTACCATGGTGACCACGGGTAACGGGAAATCAGTGTTTGATTCCGGAGAGGGAGCCTGAGAAATGGCTACCACATCCAAGGAAGGCAGCAGGCGCGCAAATTACCCACTCCCAACGCGGGGAGGTAGTGACGATAAATAGCAATACAGGACTCTTTCCATGCCCTGTAATTGGAATGAGTTTACTTTAAATCCTTTAATGAGGATCTATTGGAGGGCAAGTGTGGTGCAGAGCGACTGACCCGTGCATGCTGCAGCTGAAACTCTGCTATTGCCTGCTGCTGCTCTCACAGTCTCTCCAGCATGTGCAAGGTGGAGTTCCACCTTGTGGGCACATCGCATATGAGGCGGTGCGCGGGAAGGCCGAAGTTACGCTGCTGCGCTGACAGGCGAGAAACAGTAGGGTAAGAACGCCAAAAGCGCACACAGCCGCTACAGTGAAACTGCGAATGGCTCATTAAATCAGTTATGGTTCTTTTGATCGCTCCATCTGTTACTTGGATAATTGTGGTAATTCTAGAGCTAATACATGCTGATGAGCGCTAGAGAATGGCCGCTCTGCTTTTGCACCTTGCTCCCTGTTATGCTGTGCTGGTGCCTCTGTGCGACCACCGCCTCTTCCTCCAAACTGCACACGTCACTTGCAAGACCTTGATTCCATGTGAGGTCTAGGACCTCATCATCCTCCACATCATCTTCCACCCACTCATCAATCCTGCCCTCCTTGCCGGTCTGCACACTGCTGAAAGCCACAGCAGTTGGCACCTGTGTTTTTCCAGCATGCAAAGTCTGCAAAGGACATGGAAATTGTTTTAGAATTGTACCCAGGCAACAGTTTTCCCTATAAACTGACCTCTCAGTTTGACTTGTGAGGGTATTGCCCCAGAATTACAATATTGTTTAAGTACCTCTTAGCTATTGATAACTGGTTTAAATATAGCAGCATGTTATCTGGTAGTTTCTAGTGTAGAAAATAGCAATCTGTACAATATTACAAGTGACCGATGTAGTAAATTCGAATCAAAGTTCCATTTGCAAAAAAAAATTCTCGCCCATCTTCTGTGGATTATTGCATTTTTAAGATGTAGACTTATTGTATCACACTAGCCATGCACAGGTACATTGTCTGGCATGTTATTTTGGTGTTTGGTTTTTAACTTTGTAGTTGTGTCTTTACACAATATAGAAATGTATATTAATGCTTCTGTATATGAAGCAATCACAATAACACTTGTTTTTCACTTTTTTTTAAAAGTCTTTAGACTTTCTTGAGAAGTGGTAACTAGCCAATGTTGCACACATTCACCAAATATGAAGTGCACACCCCATATGTACTTTTTAGCACCAAGAAAATGTGAATTAGTCAAACTGCAATGTCACAGCAGTATTTGACGGTTCGATTTAAATCTCACATATGAAGTGCAGGCCACAAATGTATTATTTAGCACCTAAAGAATTTAAATGTTTAAAAATGCGCTGTAACCACAGTATTCGACGGTTCCATTTGACTCAGATATGAAGTGCACGGCAGGACGCAAATGTACTATTTAGCACCTAAAGAATTTGAATTTTTAAAACTGCAATGTAAGCACAGTATTTGACAGTTCTATTTGACTCTCATATATGAAGTGCACCACAGGCTGCAAATGTACTATTCAGCAGCAAAAAGTTTGATTTTTTAAACCAACAATGTAACAGTAGTATTTAAGGGTTTTATTGGACTGTAAGAAATGCAGTATGCAAATGCACTATTTAGCACCCCAAAAATTGCAGTATTTAAAAATGCCTAGATGTTGCACACTGAGCTACCAGAACAGGATTAAAGTAATGTGTCTGGCATACATGCAGTTGCAAGTGCACTGCACTCTCTGTGGCACTGGGCTCAGGGCAGGTTACAAAAATGTAGTATAGCACCTACAAAAATAATTGCTGTAGTTTGAATAATCGCTGTAGTTTGCAGATTTAACACCAGAATTCTTTCCTAAGCTGTCCCTCACAGCTGCATCATCCTCTCCCTACACTAATAAGAGCTCATGTGCGTGCGGCGCTACGTGACTCCAGCTTAAATATAGAGGCTGGGTCACATGCTGCACTGGCCAATCACAGCCATGCCATTAGTAGGCATGGCTGTGATTGCTTCTTAGGGCACACAAGTCAAACGCTTGTTGATTGGCTGCCCTGCAGCCTTTCAAAATGCGCCATTAAATCGCCGCACACCGAACTCCAACCCAAACATACACTGATATGTCCGTGTTCGGTTCCGGGGTCCAAAAAACATAATGTTCGGTACGAACCCGAACTTTACAGTCCGGGTTCGCTCAACTCTAAACCTGTTACACAGCCTATTAAATGTTAGAAGTCACTTTGAACCTTGCATTGTCTTGTCTCGTTCATTGGAGCTCCTCACCAGCACGTTTGGGGAAAAGGAGAAATACCGAGAGTTCCAAATTGCTTAGAAGTTCATGGCATGACATAAAGGAAAATTCCTGATGCAGGAAATCTTCACTAACAGAAACACTACACAAGGAAATGGCTATGACCCAACAATCATTGGAGGGGAAATATCTTTCATGGTTAGGCAGATTGACTGCAGTAAAAAGAGATTTGTTTACCCCTGCTCCTCTTACCCAAGCTCCAATATCTCTTCCAAAACCTACAAATCCCAGTCCCACAAACCTACCTAACTAAGATGCAGAAACTAATATCACAAATCATATGTGAATACAAGAGGGTTAGAATAGCCACAACATTTTTATACACACCAATAGAGGGAGGTGAACTGAGCCTACCGAACATTAAATTATATTACAGGGCAACACTGCTCTCTTCAGCAGTGATATCCCATTCTAAGACGCATTCCCCTTAATGGATTGACATAGAATCTCACGGGGACCGGTTACAGAAACTACACCAGTTATTTTGGATACCGACAAAACTAAGACCAGATACCCCCTGGGACGGACCGCCTGGCATCCCTACCGGGTACCGCTGTCAAACGCTGCTTCCTAGTACTTGCAAGCACCATAAGCACTGTACTGGAATACCATAACCACCGTAAACCCCATGAACCACCGCAGCTTGGTTGGGGTCTCGCTGTCCTTTACCCACCCTGGACCCAAGACCAGGATCCAGCTTCCAGTGGGTAGACCTCTCCTAGTGTAGAGAACATAGCAGGAACAGCTCTTATAAGAGCAGGGATCATACTCAGGGGAGTATTGTGAAATAGCAATCCCCAGAGTGAATGTAGTTCTCCAATCCCCCAAACATGAGCCAAGACTTCATGAAGGGGTAAACGAATCTCAGTTTAATGGGAGCCACACTTGGCCTTATATGACAATCCCCATGCAAGGCGTATGTCCACAGGGACCTTGTGAGAAAATGATTTGCAACTTCACAGACCAATAACAATACAGTTACAAGGCACGACACTCCCACACACAGCACACAATCCCTCGCCTCTGCCTCAGAGATAATTGGATCAGTAACTCTACTAATTGTAATCCAATTATCTCCAAGCACAGAAAAAACATACTTTTTTTTAAAAACACCACAAAAGTACCCTAAAAATACATAATCCCCCCCCCCCAAACAAATGTTACATCCCCTGATAGCCCTGATCTGGTTGACCAACATATCCAAAAATCACCCAGATCAGTTCAGGGGTTCAATAATTCTATGGAAGTCATTTATTTGATGAATCCCAGGCATGGTCCCATGCCCAAAACAGTTCCAGAGAATCAGGGCTTGCGGTCGGTTTAGTTTGGTAGTTTGAAAACAAACAAACTACCAAACAGAGTCAATAGTCTTACCCTGGAGCTTGTTCCCTTCATCTACGCGAATTATCCCACCAAACAGTGCTCTTCTAACTTGTATAGAACCAAATGCAGGCGATGATGTTCCAGCAGTGTTCGCGAGTTTCTGTAACCAATTTGAGTTCCAGGAGATTCATGCCCAAACACAGCTGCCTGCGTTCATGCGAACAAGATGGCCTCCACCTTGTGGTTGTCCATAGGAATTGCAGCCACCCAGACGAACAATTAGAAAACTGCGGTGAGAAATGTTCCAAGTTGTTTATTGGTGTTAACAAGCTCCAGAATGGTCTCCGGTTCGTTCGGTTGTTCGGTAAATGAACCATATAGTCCCAATTGCACAAACAGAGCCTGTTCAACCACTTAAGGACTTCTGGAATAAAAGGGAATCATGACATGTCACACATGTCCTGTGTCCTTAAGGGGTTAAAGTATTTTAGCCAGGTCTACTGCAGCGGCCATAGTCACAGGGTAAGAGGCTGGCCAGCTGGCTCCTCCAAGAACCAGTGATGAGGTTCAGTTTGTCACACCTCCTTTCTGCTTCCCACCACCAAAGTATTGATACCTACGTGGGACACGGTGAGAGAATGCCTGTGTCCTTCACAATATATGGTCAAGGGCCACACCTACACAGAGTGCAATGTAGTAAATCCCACATTTGACTACTGAATATGGACGGATGGGGGATGCACCCACATACATCAACTATTCCAGGGCAAACACATACCACCATTCCCAGACATTCAAAGCAAGTCCATTTTCACTAACAGAGTGATCTTTTCTTACCTACAAATTAAGTTCCTATTAACCAAATCCAACCTAGCAACCTTTCCCCTATCGAAATTTGAAACTATGTGTCTAGCACAGACTACACCTAAAACATTAATCTCTTTAATATTTAAATAACTGAACCAACCCGACAACAGAGATTCTGACATATACCAAAACATATGGCACTCAGTTTTACAACAGCAGTTTGCCTAAACCTGCTGGCAGGCAGCATTCAAGGCACACAAAGCCAAAACACAAAGCTCCCACTTAGAGCTCATGCGGAAGATTTACTTCCGCTGGTATATGGTGCCAACGCACTTGGCGAAAATATATCCGGGTACCTCCAGTGTATTTTAGTCACAAACGCTGGCCAAAGTTAGCATTCGTTTAGTTTTTTTGCATTTTTCACAAATAAACTTCCCTTTCACCAATGATATCATAAGCATTATATGTTTTATTGGTCCAAAACACTCATATTTGGGTTCAGTAATGTCTCACAAGAACAACAGTACCCCCATGTCAAAAAACGTATTTGATACACTGCTGATTTTGCACGTTTGCCCACTGACTGAAGAAATGATCAGTCTATAATTTTAATGGTAGGTGTATTTTAGCTGTGAGAGATAGAATAACACAAAAAAATCCAGAAAAACACATGTCAAAAAAGTTATAAATTGCTTTACATGTCAATCAGCAAGATTTCTGGGTCCCAGGTGTCTTTT